GAAGAGAGGAAGTAAAGAAGAGAGGAAGTAAAGAAGAGAGGAAGTAAAGAAGAGAGGAAGTAAAGAAGAGAGGAAGTAAAGAAGAGAGGAAGTAAGTGTTAGGAATATGCCTACCTATATTTACACTGAGTATATAGACCAAGAGGTCTATAATCTGATATAAAGTGCTCAGATTCTCGATCTCCTAACGCGATCCCCAGAGGCCGTGGATCTCTCCTTAACACTTAGGCACGCATCTTATTGCTGTCATCTTCAGCTTAAGCAGCGCGTAGCTCAATGCTACATCACGGTATCGCATCAGCTGCAAGGTGAACAGATAGACCTATGCTCGTGCTCCTGTGGCCCGGATGAGGAGAGTATAAACGCCAAACTTCCCATGCAGCAACATCATCTGTTCCCGTGCCCGATACAAACTTCTCTCCGAAAACCAGTGGTGTAACGCCATGTAACATCCATGGACTGTAGCGCCAGCTCCGTGACGAGCCCATAGCTTGACCCCTCCATGACCGTGCTGCCACGAGCGGGTATCATTCCTCTGTCCAAAACATTCTGGGCCATCATGGTAGCACGACCGTCTCTTACGATGTTGTATGTGTTGAAGACGGTGACTGGTTGACAGTCTACATCGCTGCCCGCAAAAATAGACGCCGTAATGTGCCGCCGTTAGTCAACTGCAACCTCTGTACAGATCCACCGCCTTTCGTGAACCCATCTCGCTCCAGAAAAACACAAAGCAGAAAGGTATAGAGTAATTACATGCCGAGACTTCTGTCCACTTGAGATGCGAACGGAGTCTTCAGCCCCGAGAAGTCGTAATGTACGCCGATATACGCCGAATGCTGGCTGCAAAACGCCAGCTGAGGCCGTGTCGTAAGGTCGATTCGGACAAACCCTCCCAAGACGTATATTCATTATGTCGTTCTTCAATTTACGAGTCATGCCCGTGGTGGCGTGGCAGCGGTAGTAGTCGAAGGGGTACCGCTTCGGTGTGATATAGGTGGTGATGCTCTGCTCGGCGAGGCGATAGCAGGTGCTGAGGCACGCTTCTGAATCACCTGAAGCTTCTTCCGGATGATCGCGAGTCGTTGCCGGATACTGGCGACCACTGGAACCGCGTTAGCCTTCGGAGTCCCGGACAGAACAGATGCAGGAGACTTACAGTTCTTAACAGTCCTCCTGTCCTCGGCTTCCAGCCCATTGATTGGAGCCAGATCCTCTTTCTCATCCTGGTCGCTAGTGCCACTGCCTTGGCTTGAAAGATTGTCGTCGTCACTCTCCAGAACAGCTTCCAACATGCGAATCGCCGTGACATATGATATTTCACATCCGGCCAAGTCTTCGTTCGTTAACTCATTGATCGCCGCTGCTCGACTCATCTCAAGCGCTCGATCGTACATCAGCTTCTCCGCAGTGATGCCCGAGCTCACAACAACGTGATCTGCAGAAGTGCCCAGTCCTGCGCTGGAGGCAGTAGTGGATGAGATGTTGTTCGGATGGCTGGGATGGTCCTCGGGAAGTCGCCGCTGGCTGTCGATGAGCTTGAGTCGGACAAGATCTGCCTTTTCAAGAACTTCATTAAAGCGATTTCGGATCCATTGCACGACATTGTTCATTCTTTGCCCCGTGGCCGCGGAGTTAGCGCTTGACCGATGTGTGGCATCGCCAGGTGCATCGGCACGATTTTTACGAGCCCACCAGCGTGCTGCAGTATCCATGCCCTTAGCTAGAAGTGCCAGCGCTTTGACATAAAGGACAAGCGCCTCCTCTGCCACGATGACTGTCGCTTCAATGGTGAGATCCTCATTCGAGGCTGTGAACGGCCCATCAGCGACGTTGTCGCCCGAGGCATTGCGCAAGCCCAGACCTGGTTGGGACGGCCCGGCAGGGATCAGTTGCTTGTACTTGACTTCGGCAAACCCATAGACAACATCGCTCCTGGTCGCAATCTCTTCCACCGCCTGGATATATCTGCTGTCTTCATCACCAGCCGGTGCAGCTTTAGAGTCACCAACCACGACCAGACTGCTCTGCGTCCCGGGATATGTCGGGAAGGGATTGTACGTAATCGGAGGAGATTTGCCACCGCGCATCAAGTTGACGGGCGGAGAAAATCCTACACCGAAAAGCCGACCGCTTGCCATATTCAAGGCTTTTGAGATAGCCGAAGTCGCAGATCCGGGGCTGGGTCCATAGCGTCTCTCGTAAGAGTTTTGACGCTGGTGCATCGAGTCCGGTCTTCTCCCAGAAGCGATCTGAACCGCTCGAGAAGCACTGGTCTGGGCACCAGTGACAGAGCCAGGGGCGCCTTGCGTCGTAGCTCTGCGAACCATGGCCCCGGATTTGGGAGACATGGCGGTTTGCAAGTTTCTGTTCAGTCGAGGACTAGCCTCTAGCTCATCAGCCAAGGCGTTGACCTCAACAGCCTTCTTTTCCACGAGCACATAGTCGCGCTCGAACGCAATATCTTGAGCGACTCGTTCTCTCTCAGTCTCTTCTTGCTGCCTACGCAGGGCAGCTTCCTGGGCTGTATTATAGACTTGATCCCGCAATGAGGAAGGCGGCAGCTTGTGCGAGCCGGCGCTGGTCTGACGCGCCATCGGAGTTGAGGATGGACGAGCCATCAATTCTTGTCTACCTGGCGCGGTGGCGTGAGGATGGAGAGCAGGGCGAGTCTCTACCGGACTCGACCCGGACTCCAGGGCCGCCTGCAGCTCGTCAATGGCAACTCTCTGCGTTGCTATGGGTTCCCTTGGGCCGGATGATGGACGACTCGTCGAATAACGTCTTGATAAATTGTCTTCCGACACGGTCTTTGATGATTCGAGATAGGGACTTTCTGGTTCTCTCCTCGAGCCTGGACGAGCCAAACCGACCGGGTCTGTTCGACTGTTCCGCCTTCGGTCGCCCTCAAGTTGCACTGGCTCCGGGGGCACATCCTCGGGGTGGAGTCCCGGGATAGGGCCTGACACCACCTCATTGCTGAAGAAATCAGGAAATGTCATTCTCTCGTCTGGATCCCTCTTAAGGAGCAACCGAATGAGCCTTTTCATTTCCTCGGAGATGATGTATTCGTCTCCAAACTTAATCTTATCCTCGCTCTTCTCAATCTTGCGAAGCAATTCGACATGGTTCGAGGCTCGAAATGGCGGGCGTGCAGTCATCATCTCAAAAAGCACGGTTCCCACAGACCAGAGATCGGCCTTTGCGCCGTATTTCTCGTACCGTAGGATCTCGGGTGCCATGTACAGGGGCGAACCACATAGGGTCTCAGCAAGGGCTGTCGAAGGCAGTGATCGAGCAAAGCCAAAGTCTGCAATCTTCAGCATAGGGAGCGATTTGATGCCGGTGACGGGGTCGAGCGAGTCGTCGCCAACTTTGTAGGGCATCGGGTTCGGCTTGTGCTTCTGGAAGTATTCGGGTGAAGGATTGAGCAGAAGGTTTTGCGGCTTGACGTCTCGGTGGATGAGGTTCTTCGCACGAAGGAACTGCAAAGCGCTAGCCAGTTGCTTCAAGAAATGCCGGACAACCACCTCGTGAAGACCGCCGTATCTCGGATTGGGGTATTTGAGCATCATATTGCCCACCAGGTCACTGTCCTTGATTTCATTTCGCCTCTTGATGAAGTGTGACAGATCGCCCAGAGCAACATACTCCATGATCAGGTGGATGTGCGAGCTCGATTCCTTACAGTCGATGAGGGCAACGATGTGAGGATGATGCAGGCCTTTGAGGATGGAAATCTCCGAAGTCAGGTTGTCCTTGAGTTTCTTGTTCAACTTGGACATGTTGACAGATTTGATTGCCACGATGCTCTGCGTGCCGGACGTGCTCTGTGACGCTGTCAGTGCATCTTCGAGAAATGGAGGCACGCCGTGACTCACCGTGTGGATGGCCTTGTATACTGTTGCAAAGCTGCCTCGACCGATCTCTTCATGGCGCTGAAAGCTGCCTATCCGCTCCGAGTCCTTCGACCTCCTCGGAGCGGACGACTGCGAGGTTGTGGACGCCATTTTCTTCCCTTCACCTCCCTCCGCCTGCTTCGGTCGATAACGCCGGTCGGAGATGCTGAGGTGAGGCGATGTGAAGGTTACCTTCTGACTTGAGGTGGGAGACCCAGCGAAGTGGTGTGGCCCATGGATTGCTCGAGATGGAGACAAGGCAGAAATGACAGGCTCACGGATGGATTGTGGCACCAGGTAGCAGTAGCAGGTAGCAGGCGACAGGTCGAATGAAAGTGTGGAGATGGCGCAATAGGACGGCAGGCTGCGTGAATCGGGGTCTGTGCCACTCGACTTCACTGAAACTCAACAAAATGTGTGGGGTTGAAAGGACCGTATTGAAGTGATTTAGCTGAGGTAGTGGTTGGGTTGTGAGATGCGGTTGTGGGAGGTCGTGGTCGTCGGGCGCAAGTCTGGGGGATACAGGGCGTGGTTGGACAGGCCGAGTGACGCACTGTAGTGACTCTTAGCCCGTTCAAGTGAACAGCAGGCGCAACACGCACAATAGATAGTGATAGCGACGGAGGGAAATTCAAAGGCTCAAGATGACAATAAATGGTCCGAAGGGCCAGTACGCTACGGCGACAGGAGAGCAGCAGAGAGCAGAGAGCAGAGAGCAGAGAGCGAAGTTAGTCATGCAGTCAGTCAAGTCATTCACTGCATACAAGCGCGACAGGCGACGGACGTGCAGATGCGTGGTGTGTCTTTCCACGGCTTTTGGGGGTGTGGGAGAGCGGGAGGCTCGAGTGATCGACTGGACTGGGCTGGACGTGTGACCTGGCGAGAGAGATAAGGGTCACGTGGAAGCTACAATCAGCAGTTCGCCAGCTTCGCCTCAGTCGTCCCTCAGTTGTCCCTCACTTGGGCAATCAACCTTCCGTTGTCCGTTCGCTGGCCATCCAACCTTGCTTGTCGGACAGTGTACTCCGTACTCCGTATCTTCCCCCGGATTTCTCTGCCTCTTTCTGCGCCCAACAAAGAAACGTGATCCCTACCCTGCCCCTCCGAGACTCTCGTGCATCACGACATGTACCGAGCGCTTATCACTGCCAAATGGATTCCTCTTCCGGAGCTGCTTTACCTTCCGCTGCTCCTACTGCTACCTCGTGTCTGCAGGTCTGTTTATCTGACGTAGGTCCTAGGCGAATATGTCCAAGACTGCGTCCCTCGGGGTTTGGACCCTACTTGTGGCTGCGGTCAACTTCATGCAATAGTACTCATGGGTTCGAGACAAAACGGGCATCAGTTCACTTGAGCAACGTCTCAATGATGACGAGATGACGGATTTCGCCGGATCAGATATCCAATCCCCGTACCAACAACCACAGTCCTACTGGAACCACCACGTTGTCGTTTGCCGCAGTCAAGGTACTCTCCAAAAGACTCGCTCCGGTCCCTGCTACCAGGCATTTCCCCAGGACTGACCCGAGCGCTTTTCCATCATGCCATGACATCCATCCCCCGAGTCTAAGCCAAGCCCAGCTCGTTAGTAGACCGCACGTGACCGCCATGGCAAATGCGAGGCTTCCTTCCAAGCTTTTCCCACCCACCCAGTACCATTTTGTCTTCCCATAACGCCGGCCGATGAGGCTTGCCGCAGCATCGCCCATGCCCACACAAATGACGCCACTGACCATGCTCAAGTCTCGCACTGGGGTATCCCAGCCATTCCACGGCGCATCACCAACGCGCGGCGCAGCAGCAAGCGAAAGCCACAAGGGGATGGCGCACCCAATCAACAAGAAGATGTGTGACACAATGACTGGACCTCGATGATCTCGTCCATCAACATATGGAGCCAAAAAGACAGTCAAAGGTTTCGAGATTGGTGGCAGTTGTGACGCCCGGAACAGGTCGAGCAGTAGGAATATCGCCAGGATCAAGCTGAGAGCCAAAGCAATAAAACACGGATCCACGTATATCGTGGGAAGCAGCATGGCCACCATGATGCCATGAAAGACCTTGCGTCTGGTGTCAACCTCGACCACAGATGTGAGTCGCAGGACAGCCGCGATACCAGTGCCCAGAACAACTAGGCAGTATGCGCATATGGCAAGGCGCGTAGTAGCAGGTCCGAGGGCGTTTTGTCGGAGGTGCTCAACGAGGCCGTTTTGGAAGGCCACAGCCGGCTCCCTCTGCCGAGCTGGAAGGCTGATCCAGCGCTCTAGGTTGTTGCTGACGACCCAGAAACGGACTGTGGGTAGATTCCCAAGCAAGTAGCCGAGTGCCCACCCGATCGGCTCCTGGTTGGACAATGCTCGTGTTGCCACGTAGAGCCGAACGGGACCCAGGATTGTGGCAGCAACAAAGAAGTAAGCAGCCGCCGCATACACGTACTTTCGAACCCGAACTTGTTCCAGACTGAATGCCAAGAACGGCGCAGAAGGACCACTAGGGACTGCCTTCGCCTTCTTCATAGTGACGGAGTCTTGTTTGCTGTTGCCGTGATCGAAAGCTGCGAAAGTATTCCTGCGGAGGGGCGGTGCTATCGTCGCTGTATCCAGTGACATAGCGTTTGTCGCTGTCGCTTCAAGCGCCGACTTCGCTTCTTCAACAGGCCCCATGGCAGAAAGAGCTCTTCCGTTGAGTTGCAGCTTCAGTCGAGGACGCAGTTTCCTGATGCTCTTCATAGGCTGAACGTCGTCATCAGAGTCGGAGTCTTCACGGCCAACGTGACGGAACGCACCCCTGACGAGAAAGGTGCATATAGCTTGATCAATCTGGGAGATAAGGCCTCGATTCCGTCTTATTTTCAGAAGCCTCCAGGTTGGCACCCTTGCCAGCGCAACTTCCCACATTAGCACATGCTTGCAAGTGATGAATATGCATAAGCCCCCGAGCCATATCGTCGCCTTCAGGATTTCAGCTTGCGGTGTCCCTGCAAAGAGATAGAGGCTAACCAGCGCTGACGAAAGTAGCTGTAGTTCCGAGGTCTCCAGGCTGGATGTGGTGAGATAGCCAAGTACCGACATCAGCACGTGGTGCAGTGGAAACAGCAGAACCAGGTCTTCCCGCGTCAGCGACGGACCAATCTTTAACGAAAGTGGCTTAAAGACCGAGGGAGTAAACACTTGGTGATTCGAGGCGTGGAGAGGTAAAACTGAAAATACCCAGTGCAGATACTCCCCAATCGCAGGGAATTGTGTTGTCGTGACTAATCGTGGCATGGAGGAAAGACCACAAACAATGGTGGCGGGGAGAAAAGAAGCGCTGTGGTGAAACAGTGATACGGCAACCATCGATGGTAGCAATACAGGGTACAAAAGAGGCCCTGGGTCAAACCGGGATGGAATATGGAATCCCAGTCGTAGTGCCTGGGTTAAGGTCTTGCCTGATCCCAGCGCAAGAAAGGTGAGCCGGAGAGGGTACACCAGGTATACGAGAGGGGGAATAACAAGAAAAGCAGCGATCTCATTCAGCCAGTCTTGAAGACCTGTCGAGCCTTTTCTGTTATTCCACACGATGACGCCGATGCCACAGAGTAAGCTGGTCTCTGTACATCTTCGGACGATCTCGCGCCGTTTCCGGTCCTTGTATGTTTGATAGTCCTTCACCTGGCTTCTCGGTGCCTGTAATTTCTTTTCACGTTTCTCTGGTGGCTCAAAGAATCGAAGTTCTTCCCCGTCCACGAAGGCTGGAGGTGTAGACGGCGGGCTTGCGGCGGGTGTGAGATTAGCTGGCGTGCTTCCTCGCAGGCCCTTGTGCAGACGCAGTGCGGGCGCAGGAAGGCCCTTTAGGAAAGGGCCTTTCTCATCATCTGCCTCCGTCCCGCTGTCACTGGACTCCGACCGGCTTGGACGAGGTGATGGAACAAATCCATCGGCGACTGAAGTCGAGCCACCGGCGCCCGACCATGACTGGGTTGTCGAAAGGCTGTCACCCCTCAGATGGTATGGTCGAGGTGTGCGTGACAATGTCAGATTATGTTGCTCGTGAATTTCTTGAGAGCTGGATCGGCCGCTGTCAGTTCTGGTCGGCTTCAGGAAAGTCATCGGAGGGCAGATCCGAAAATGGTGGGGAGTCGTCGCAGTCTATCGGGGGCATTCATTCATGGCGGATAAGCGTCGTCAAGGAGTCGTACTGCAATTACTGCAGGCTCAGGTGCCATCCTGGTGTAGCATGACCAGGTGGTTTTGTTGGGAGCGACTGAGCAGATTCACATGCAACGCAGGAAGTGTGAGCTGCGGATGCCTCTTCAAGTTTGGCCCGGGCTTCTGATTCCCACAATCTGTGCCGAGTGACGACGTAATGCCTTAAGCCGGCACCACAGGCACCCACTACTGTACCTCAGATACCCACCTAGGCACCCCAGCACCACCAGCGACGCGGATCATACCGCTGACGAACACAGGCCGACCTCCGTAAGAGACACCGTTTGCACATATTCCGTACGCGCGAGGGCTACAGATTGCATTTACAGATGACGGTTCTAACTTTCAGTCCATGCCTATCAAAACATAAGGATACCGCAAAGCCACCATTGCACTCGCTGTCCCCGCTCGGTCAGAAGTCAGAAGTAAGCACCATCGCCTTACAGCTCAGCTTCCATCTTATCCAGAATGGTCCTGGTGAATTCATGTGTCGTTGCGTCGCCGCCCATATCGCGAGTCCGTACCTTGCTGCAACAGTAAGTCAGCGGATGAAGATGGTGGCGCAGCTGGTCGCGACTTACCCGTCAGCAATCACATCATATACAGCCTTGGAAATGCGGTTCGCATGGTCGTCCAGACCCAGATGCCTGAGAAGCATGGTACCAGATAGAAGCAGAGCCGTAGGATTGGCTTGATCCTTGCCCTGGATATCCAAGCCGACGTGTCTGCAGCCAGGCTCGAAGACCGCAACATCGCGACCCATATTGCAGCCAGGAACCACACCAGGCCCACCAACAAGGGCGGCAGTGATGTTCGTCAGAATACCGCCGTAGAGATTGGGCATGACCATCACATCGAATTGTTGCGGTCTTGACACGGCTTGCATGGAGGCATTGTCCACGATCATGTCGTTGACCTCCAAGGTCGGGTAGTCCTCCCCCACCTTCTTGACCGTGTTCCGGAACAGACCATCGGCCAGCTTCATGATGTTCGCCTTGTGGATGCAAGTGACCTTTTTCCTGTTATTCGCCAGCGCAAATGAGAAAGCGAACTTGGCGATTCGCTCGGACTTGGCGCGGGTAATGATCTTCAACGACTCGACAACCCCTTGCACAGACTGGTGCTCCAGACCAGAGTACTCGCCCTCCGTGTTTTCACGAACAATACAGAGATCCACATTCTTGTGCCGAGTCACCAGACCAGGAATGTTCTTGATCAAGACCACCGAGGCGTAGATATCGAGTTCCTGGCGTAGGGCGACATTGAAGGACTGGTGACCAGAACGTTCGATGGGAGTGTGCAAGATTCCTTTCAGACCAAGTTTGTTCCGTCGAAGAGATGATATTGACTCCTTGAACAGGTCTTCTGAGTGCTTGTCCCCAGAGTCTACACCTGTCACGTCGACCTGCTCCCACTCGATGGGGACGTTGTCGGCCTTGAATATCGTCTTTACTGCTTCGGCGACTTCGGCACCAATACCATCACCTGCAATTATTCGCAACGAGTAAGTCCATTGCTCCAACGGGTGCTGAGAGAGTCTGAGGATGTGCCGTACCAGGAATCAATGTCACAGTATATTTTCCACCATATTTTGTGGGCTTGAAAATGTCGGATTCGACGGTAGCATAGGCTGGACGGAAACAAATACATCAGCTGTTGGAACGATGTCGTCTAAAGTCGGCTTTGCTCACATCTGGCAAGGAAGGGCGAGACAGTGGTATGTCTGCTTGCGCGCTGAGTAGCTCGGAACAGCGCCTGGTGCAGATAAAGCTCATTAGATTACTGCTCATCGAGCGGTGTAGGTCTTGTCCTCACCTGAGCGCTTCGACTGGACCTTGCTAGCGACATCGTAGCGACACGGCCAGGTAAATGCAAGGGTCGACGACTATCGTATCGCGCAGCAGCAGTGGTGTAAAGCAGAAAACTTATCGCAGGGTGGAGGAGCTTTGTTTCTGATGCAACCCGGAACGAGCTCTGACCAATCGCAGTGCAACATCCGAATGACGTCGATGATTGCTCGGAAGGCCGAGCTAGGTGCCGAGGAGAGCAGTTCTTCAAAGTCACGACAGTATTGAAGCTCTCTAGGCACGAGTAGTCATACAGTACAGGACGTGCGCGATAGAGCATTGGATTATCCGCATGTCGACTAGGGTTTCCTAATGGACGATCAACCGATCGTACAGACGTTGTAGCTCGTAGCACATCTAGCTGAAGGCTGGCAAGGCAAACGTGGGATTCCCAAGAGGGAGTCATCCACTGCTTCACCTCTACTCTCAATTGACTTTGACTGTAGTTGCTTTGTATCTCAGAGACTAAGCACATACACCAAGCACGCAGTGGCACAATAATGCTCTCAGATCAGACTTGAATGCCCAGTCCTAATCTAGCATCCCTAACTTGATGCTTCACCTCAACCTTTCCAAGGCTAGATCATGGGACTGGGACTGGGAATGTGCCAGACAACTATGGAGAATCACCCATTTAGCGGAAGTGACCTCCTCAAACTTGCTGGTATGTCGTCTGTTCTTGCAAGAAAGAAAGAAAACAAATCAAGAATGCATGGAGGTGCGAGCATTTTGATGCCGGTTCTTGCGTGCCCCAAAGACATCAGGCTAGGTAAACTGGCGAGGTTGAGCGAAAAATCCTGAGTTTAACCGGCGGTGAATCAAGACAGCCACTGTCTGGTTAGGCGAAGGTGAATAGACGAGCGACCAACCTCAGCAATTGAGGCCTGGATCCCCTCATCATATGACGGCAGCAGACCGGCCTCGTCGACTTGCTGCTTGAGGTAGAAGGTCATCAGGTCGTAGGATCTAACTGCTGTGCAGGATAGGCGCCCTGCCCATCTGCCGCAGACAGAGATACAGGGAACGATTACTCCGTACAGCTAAGTGAGATTCAGAACTCATCTGGCAGGAAAAGAACTTTTGAATACGAACTCGCCGCAGTTGCCGAATCTGGCGCCCCCACGATCCATGCAGGGCCAATTGCTCGCTCGCACGCGGCACACCTCTGCCTGGGTGCCAGACCCCCCGTGGCTTGCGCAGGGCGACGCACGAGACCTGGTCTGAGTTTCACAGCAATCCATCCATTCCTTCAACAAGCTGACCCTCGTGTTTGCTTGGAGTCAGGCGGGCAGATATAGATGCAGCCAGCCGTACGGTCTCTTTCCAGGCTTGCTGCTCAAACACGGACCGTAAACTCACGAGCTCAAATCCTGCGTCGATCCTTCGAAAACCGACCCTCTTTCTACGTCAAGACTGCTTCAGCATACAGCCACTGCAGGCAGCTCTCTTGTTTGCCTTCCTCTGCTCCTTCCAGACTTGCAGGAGACCCAGCTTCGAGATCACTGCGGCCATTGACTCCTGCGCTCTACTCAAGTGTATCACCGTCAAGAGCATTCCACTCTGCCACGATGTGCCGGTTCATGTCAGACTCGCCGGGGACCGTCAACACCCAAGGCCGAATCATCCTCCCTGCAAATGTCGTTCCAACACACTACGATGTGACCCTGGAGGTTGACTTTGACAAGTTCATCTTTAAAGGAGTGGTTGTCATTGACCTGGACGTTGCAAAGGATTCCACCTCCATCTCGTTGAATACTCTGGAGCTCGATATCCACTCGACAGCCGTTCATGCTGATGGTGCCCTGGTTACGTCTTCGCCAACGCTCTCCTACGATGCAGATACTCAGACAACGACCATTGAGCTTGGGGAAGGCAAGAAGCTCTCGAAGGGCCAAAGGGTGCAGCTGAAGCATACATACACTGGTCAGTTGAATGACAAGATGGCTGGTTTTTACCGGTCAAAGAGAAAGGACGGAAAGTATCTTGCTGTAACACAGTTTGAGGCTACGGATGCAAGGAGGGCGGTTCCCTGTTTCGACGAACCTGCGTTGAAAGCAGAGTTTACCGTCACGCTGATTGCCGACGACGAAATGACCTGTCTCTCGAATATGGATGTGGCGTCGACAAGTACAGTGGATTCAGAGGTTACAGGCGGGAAGAGAAAGGCTGTGAAATTTAATCGTTCGCCGCGCATGTCGACCTACCTCTTGGCTTTCATTGTTGGAGAGCTCAAGTCAATCTCGACAGACAAGTTCAGATTACCCATCAAGGTGTGGATGACACCAGACCAGAATGAATCCGATGGACAGTTCGCGCTTGAGGTCGCTGCTAAGACCCTAGCGTTCTATGAGAAGGCATTCCAGGCACCATACCCGTTGCCAAAGATGGATATGGTTGCCATCCCCGATTTTGCCGCTGGAGCGATGGAGAACTGGGGTCTAGTGACTTACCGTGTGGTAGACCTCCTCTTCGACCAGAAGTCCGCCGGGGCTGCAACGAAGGAACGCGTCGCCGAAGTTGTTCAGCACGAATTGGCCCATCAGTGGTTCGGAAACCTGGTGACGATGGACTTCTGGGACGGGCTGTGGCTCAACGAAGGATTTGCAACCTGGATGAGCTGGTACAGTTGCAACGAGTTCTATCCTGAATGGAAAGTGTGGGAAACCTTTGTCATTGATACCTTACAAGGAGCGCTGGGATTGGATGGCCTGCGTAGTTCGCATCCCATTGAAGTGCCTGTGCATCGGGCAGAGGACATCAACCAGATTTTCGATGCCATCTCGTACTCGAAGGGCTCATCGGTCCTCAGAATGATCTCCAAGTATCTCGGCGAGGACACTTTTATTGAGGGTGTGAGGAGGTACATCAAGAAGCATGCCTGGGGCAACACGCAGACAAGTCATCTGTGGAACGCTTTGGGGGATGCAAGTGGAAAAGACGTGGCACATGTGATGGACATCTGGACCAAGAACATTGGGTATCCGGTGATCACAGTGACGGAGAACGAGAAGGACTCTAGCATCACCATCAAGCAGAATCGATTCTTGCGAACGG